ATATATCTGTCAAAACATTATTATCAATGCTCACAACTGTCAATTGGTGAAAAAAATGACTTTTTTGAATTTATGCGGGTCTTTTCAAATAAATTGTCTGAAAATCGGTGAACCTCGTGAATCCAACCTGAAGTAGTGACTGTAATCGTTTTTTAAGGTTAAATAAAGATACATTTTTTTTTAAAATAATAGTGGTTTTTTTAATTCACATTTTTTTTAGTTAGTTGACTGCTATATTTTACATGTACACATTTCGAAACGCTTTATTCAAGCAATAAATTATATTTATTGAAAGCACTTTTAAGATATTCTTCACGAACGCCAGGAAAATTCATGTGAATCGAATTCCATTCCCGGTGGCAAATCTGTATTACAATATAACCCAGCATACTAAGATGAAGCTCTTCGAGAAGATCAAATCCACGCTTTCGACTTGTACCATTGAATTGAATAGGTTGTTTTGGCAACGGAATTATAGCCACTCTGAAATCAATTCATTCAAACCATTTAATAAAACAATTACACTTTGTCACGCCTAATACATACTTGTCTAACGTTTGAGGGCCCTCGTCTACTGGCGGTGAAACTATTTGTCTTTGTGAGTTAAAATAAATGACGAAAGGTATCTATGGATTTCGGATTTAGTCAGTTTTTTCTTTCAAAAGAAAATGAATAAAAACTATATTTACCCTGTATCCGTATGGTGTCTTATGATTCAATCTAATCATACTTTTGTCACCTCCAACATAAGACAGCAACATTTTGTATATTTTATTCATATAAGGAGTAAGCTTTGGTGGATCTAAGTAAAAGAAATGTGAATATGAAAAATAAGCCTGTATGGAAAACATGTTTGTGAATAGCCTTACTAGCTGCTAATTGTGCATCAATAAAATTCTGCTGGAACCATGGCACTCTAGCCTGCAATATTCAACAAGAAAATATAAATATTCAAAGACAATTTAACTATTAACATCACACATACTTCTGGATAATTAAGGCAAATCGAACGGTTCAACTGCATGACCAAACTTAATACATTTTTTTGATCATTTCCCTGAAAACAAAAATGGTGTACGCACGTTTGTTTTATTTTATAATTTTTCAAACCCATATAGTTTTACCTTATGACAAATAATCGACAATTCCTTCTCTAACCGAGTTATAAAATCAATATTAAACACTCGTTGTATCATGTCCAGTGGAAGAACTTGATAGTAACTTAATGCCAAGCATGCTTGAACAATCATCCT